AGCTCCGGCGCCCCGGGTTTGACGACCCCAGCCGGCAGCGACCAGGCACTCCAGTCGCCACAGATAGCGGCCGCGACGCCCGTGGCAGGCAGCCCAGACCCCTCGCCCGCGCATCTGGCGCTGGCGCTGCGCAGCCACGTGCAGGCCCTGGCGGGGGAGGAGCTGACGGCGGAGAAGGCGCGCACCATGTCCCTGCGGGCGGTGGTGGCCTGGGGCAATGTGCGCGACCGGCGGCGCGCCGCGGAGGAGCGCGCGCGCGCGGCCGCCGAGGCCGCGCGCGCGGCGCCGACGGGGCCGGCACCCGACGCGCTGGGGCCCAGCCTCCCAGGCGCAGGGCGTCGGGGGCCGGCGGCCCCGGACCCCGGCGCGGAGGGGCCCGAGGGCGGCGCCGGTCCGCGCTCCCTGGTGCCGCAGGTGGCGGTGGGCGCCGACGGCCGCATCGTCATCGCCGAGGCCAGCCTGACGGTGCAGGCGCAGGAGCGGGTGGAGAACCGGCGGGTGGTCACCGACGAGCACTTCCGCCTCAACTCCTACACCTACGCCAACCGCCTGCACAACGAGCGCTGGGGGGCTGAGGACACCGAGCTCTTCTACAAGGTGGGAGCCTCGGGGCAGGGAAGGGGCGGGAGGACTGCCCTGGGGCCTGGGATGCCGGGGGGGCCCCAGGGGAATCGTGGAACTCAACCAGCGTAGCCCCGGTGCATGCGCGCCGGTGCGCAGACCCTCAGGCGGCTGGAGTGGGTGTGGGAAGTCCGGCCACCCGCTGATGCGATTTGTGCGCATGGCCTGGTCCTTGCCGTTCCCCCTGTCTCCCAGTGCTACGCCGCACCGCAGCCCCACCTCCCCCTCCTCCCGCACGCCGCGCAGGCACTCAGCCAGTTTGGGACGGACTTCACGCTGATCAGCCACCTGTTCCCCGGCCGGCAACGGCCCCACCTGAAGAACAAGTTCAAACGGGAGTCCAAGGTGAACCCGCGGCGTGTGGATGCGGCACTGAAGGCCAGCGCAAGCGCGACCGCCACCAGCTACCAGGTGTGTCGAGGGTGGGGTCCGGTGTGGGTGAGGGGGTTGCATGAGGAGGAAAGGGAGCTGGGTGGCATGTTGTTGCATTGCAAAAGGACTGCGAAAGGACTGCAGGGTCTAGGAGGTGGCGGCTCGTTCACATCTCCCAGTGCGGATCCCTTCCCAGGACATGATCTCCATGCTGAAGGCCAGCGGGATGACCGTTCGGAGCACGGAGGGGGAGGAGGAGGGGGAGGCAGACAGGCTCCCGGCGGACCTCTCGCAGCCGCTCAGCTCCCCGGAGCAGGCGGCACTCAGCCCTGGGGAGCAGCATACGAGCATCCTAGAACCTGTCGATCCCCAGAAGGCCTGACGCTCGGCACGATTCTTTCCCACAGGCCTTTCATATGGATCAGCCTTGCGCCTCTCACCACCAGCCTGCTTCGCCTTTTCAAAGCGCATGGGTGTTTGTGAACGGATTTTCACCCTTGGATCACTGAAGTCTGAAGGAGTATGGGAGAGCAAAAGTGGTGGATATATCTGTCATAATCAGTAGAGGGGTGGCGCCACCGAGACTTCCAGAGGGAGGGTCAGGAGTTGGGACGCGTGCTGTCCAGGCTGGCTTCCAAGGTCGCCCTCCTCCGACACGACGACCGTCAGCCGTGCGACAAGGTCTCTGTTCTTGTGCAGAGCCCCGCTCCCGGGGTCAAACTCCAAATGCAGCTGCAGCGTGGCGTCGGGTGGCAGGGCTCCCCCCAGCGGGAAGACCCGGAGCCCCTCCTCAAGAGACCTTGGGGGGACGACCACGCTGAATCGGAGCGTGCGCCCCAGGCTGTTCTGCAGCTGACAGGACTGCGCGGGGTATGGTGTTCGGGGGTGTTGTAGGGGGTTGGGTCCAGAGGACTGCCGCTGCTATGCCAGGCCCCACATCCCCCCTTTCAATAGCCGCCAAGAGAATTGCAAGGGGTGCGAGCCCGTCCTGCAATCAGCGCATGGTCCCGCTTGGCGCCATTCCTAGGCTCCCACCTTGCCCACGCTGCCCCTCAGCTGCAGTCGGTCCGGGGTCAACTTCACGGCGTCTTCATCGTCCAGCGGCACCCGCCCCGCCATCTCCTCCTCTGCCAGGCCGTCCAGGATCTGGTTGCGCCTCGCACGCCGCGCCTCCCAGTCGTTCACCGACAGGTCTATGCCCAGCAGGGCATACACAGGCTTGTGGTCGGACTCGGCGACGTCGGCCCAGCAGCCATACTCGTGGCAGGTCATCAGCACAACGTCTGGGCCTGCCGTGGCCCGATCAGCCCAGGCGTCTCGCTCGTCGGGCAAGGGCTGCAAGGGGAGGGGAGTAAGGGGGGCTGGAGAAGCGCTTGGACCTGAAAAAGAGAACCCCACCCCTCTCCAAGTAGCCCCGCACCTCTGGGGAGGGAAAGGCGGGGCAGCCGCGGAAAAAGATGCGGTCGCACCAGGCCGGGACCCTGCGCTTCTCCGACGAGTCGTAGGCAAAGGGGTTGGCCGAGGCCTTGTCGAACTTGTAAGTGGGGCGGAAGGTGATGGGCCCCTCCCGCATGCCACGGAAGGTCTGCCCCGCCGCCATCTCCCGCCGGCACTGGTCCTGGGGTGGCAAGGCAGGAAGAGGGAGGGGATGAAGAGAAAGAGGGGAGGAAGGGCGCGCTCGGCATGCCTGCCATCAACACATGCCCGCACTCCTCTGCTGCTGAAGTCTCTACTTGCTCCTGCGCTGTGATGCTCCTGAAAGGACCTGGGCTTTAATCCTCAGTTCCCACCATCCCAAATAGTAGTTAACTAACCCCCACTCGTCCCCCCTTTCCTCCCCGCCTCACCAGGGGCAGCAGGCTGGCACAGTCGTTGCGCACGGCCCTGTCCCGGATGTCCTCGTAGGGGCCGTCGATGCGGTAGTTGAAGTCCCCCGCCCAGATCAGGGCCTCCGCCTTCTGAACAGCGTCGCCCTGCACCAAGGGGTCCTGCGCCGCAGCGGCCTCGGCCAGGTTCGCCGCACTGGCACCGGGCCCCAGCGTGGTGAGCTGGGGGCCCGACGTCCCCGCCTCCGCTTCATCTGGGCCGTGGAAGGTGAGAGGGGAGGCTGTGAGTGAGCGCTGAGAGGCCGGGGAGGGGGTCGTAGAAGGGACAGACGACAGTGCCTGCGTCAGTCTTCATGCTGCGGATTCGGCGCCCGACCGGATCGCCCGGCTCACCCCCATCGCCCAGGCCGGCGCCCCCTGGCGCCGCCAGCGCCTCGTCCACGTCCTCGTCGGCCAGCCAGGCGCGGCGCGTGAAGGTCAGCGCCTTCACGATGGCCTGGTAGTTGGCGTTGCGCGCCTCCACCGCGCCCTGGTGGGCGGCGAAGTGGGAGCACAGCAGCGCGACCTTGTGGCGGAAGAGCGAGAACTCCACCGCCACGGCGCCCTTGTTCCCGCCCACCCCCAGCACGCCGCAGGCGACCGAGGCGGTGGCCACCTCCCCCAGCCACTCCTGCGCAGGCGTGTGTGTGTGGAGGGGGGTGTCGATGGTGGTGGATCGGTATGATGGTGGCCCAGGGAGAGCCCGTTGGCATGCGCAGGCGCAGCATCGGTATCCGTGGCCTGCACCCTCAAGCTCATTCCTCCTGGCCCGATATCTTCTAGGCCGCCCACCTCCTCACCAGGGATGCCTCCACAAAATACAGCCCTCCCACCCTCCTCCTTCCCAACTCCCTCCATTCCACCCACCAAACAATCACCTTGAGGTCGTGGCGGGCGTAGGCCAGGACGAGCATGCCGGAGAGCTGGCGTAGGCCGACCAACTGCCAGGCTGCTTCCCCGCCCAGCGCGCGCAGCACGGCGCCGCTCCAGAACTTGGCGTTGGTGTTGCCCCGCTCCTGCATGCGGTAGGAGATGGCGTCCTTGGCCGCCGCCAGCGCCACGCTGGAGCTCCCCATCTCAATCTCCTGCAGGGCCACAGCCACCAAGGCCGGGCCCTCCCCGCCGCCCGCCAGCGTCGCCGCGCGGCGCAGGTGGCGGAACACCTGCGACGAGTCCGGGTCGGGCTTGCACTCGTTCACGTTCCAGGTGAGGGCCAGGGCACGCAGGCTGCGCCGGCTGAAGGTTGTGGCGGCCACCTCCCTCCACAGCCGTCTATTGGAGGAGAGTTTTTTTGGGGGGGGCCGGGGGCGATGAGGGATGTAGAGCACACCTCAGCGGACTCAGGCAAGGTGGGCGAGGTGGACACCGACATGCCCTTGGCTTCCGCCTGCCTGCCTCCAGATGTGCACACATTTGGGCAGCATGCAGGCCCTTGCATGGACCAAGACATAGTTCCCATGGTAAAACACAAAACATATGCACGCTGACCCCTCCCACAAAGCATTCCCTCCCCCCCAAAAAACTCACTGTGCAGAGGGGACAGCGGCGCTGTGCAAGCTGGCCTGCGCCGCCGGCCAGGCGACGATTTCCCCCGAGGCGGCGAGGGAGTAGATGCGGCCCGGGCCGGCGGCCAGCGCCATCACGGCGGCGCGGTGCGCCCTCCAGCCGCGCAGCGGCCTGCCGTCGTCCGCACACAGCAGGCACAGCGCGCCGGCCAGCGTGCCGACCCAGACCCCGGCGCCGGCGCAGGCCAGGGCCTGCACGCCGCCGCCCGCCCCCGGCGCGGCGCTGGAGTCCACGCTCCACTCGCGCCGCCCCGCCGCGCTGTACCGCTCCACCGTGCCGTGCTTGAAGGCCAGCAGCAGGCCGCCCAGCGGAGACGCCGCCAGCCCCGCCACCACGCCCAGGCGAAGGTCCCCGGCGGCGGCCGCGGCGGCCGAGGTCGAGCCGTCGCCGTCGTCGAAGGAGAGCGCGCGGCGGCGCAGGGCGCCCTCCGCGCCCCCGGACACCAGGTCGTCGGCCTGGGTGGGCGACATCAGCCCCGCCTCCACGCCCGGGAAGGCGGCGGGGACGCCGCCGCCCTCCTCGCCCGCGTCGGCCCTGGGGTCGCGCAGGTTCTTGGCCACCTTCTTGCCCAGCTTGCCCAGCATGCGCACGGCCTTGCCTGCGCGAGTGGGATGATGAGAGGGAGGGGTGGATGTGGCGTCCGAGGGGAGGTGCAGCCGTCCTGCCACCCGGGCCGGGCCCGGGGTGGCCGGCGGCGGTCGTCAGCCCCTCTGCCCTCGCACACATCCCTGCGTGTGCTTGATCACATGCATGGCACCCGACTCCTGGTAGTGAGCCGCCTCCCCGGTTGGCACCTGCGCCCTGCACGACCCGGGAGCCGCCCATGTGCACGCGCTCCACGAACTCGGCCACGCCGCGGTCGGAGAGCGCGGCCCAGTTCTCCTGGTCGGCGACCAGGCGCGGGTGGAAGTCGCGGGGGAGCAGGGCCAGGGGCCGCCCGGTGGGGCCCAGCGCCAGGCCGCGGGCCGAGGGGATGCGCTGCTTGGAGTCGGCGTCGGCATCCAGGCCGGTGTAGGAGGGCGCCGAGGAAAGGCCCCAGGCCTCCTCCCCCTCCACGGCCTCCCTGCCACCCGCGGCGGCGGCGGCGCCGCCGCGCACGAGCACGCCCAGGAAGGCACCGCAGGCTGCGTCCCAGAGGAGGATGGTGGAGCGGGAGGCCGACCACACGGTCGAGCCGTCGGCCGCGGCCGCCAGGAAGCGGACCGGGCCGCCGTGCGGTTTGTCATCGCGGCCGCGCCGCACCTCACGCGTGGTCAGAGGGCCTGAGAAGGAGGGGATTGAGAGGGAAAGGGGGCTCAAGCATGGGAGCGGGCGCACTGATACACATGATGCACGGTGTCGGATGGTGCCCTCGGCGGCGTCGGGGATCAGCCTCTTCCTACAGCCTCGAGTGCCAGGTAGATCCCAGACCGCTCACCAGCAGGGAAGTGGCCCTGCGGGGCTGGTGGGGCCCGGGGCCAGATGCGAATGTGGCCGCGGGAGGACCCCGTCCAGAGGTGGCCGCTGGAGGGGCTGACGCAGAGGGCGGTGATGTGCCCCAGACGGTGCGCCTGCCACTGCCAGCCCACCTCGGAGGAAGACAGGGGCTGGCCGGGGCTGGCGCGGGACAGGTCGTAGCCTGGCAGTGTGGGTGAGGGGGTGAGTCATGTGCCTGGGCGCCACAGGACATCCAGGACCTTGCGCTCACGGACACCACGTCTGTACCAGGGGGCAGGGACTTTTCCCGGGCATGCTCTCCCCCGCGACTTTGCACCAGCTATGCAAACCCATGCTCCCCCCCCTCCTCGAAACACTCACCGGTGACCCAGCCATCGCGGTCGCCGGTCCAGACGACGGTCGCGGCGTGGTCGACGAAGAGCGCGGTGACGGCCTTCTTCCGCGGCGGGCCAAAGGTGTGGGAGGGCGCCGCGTCCGCGTCCTCCCGAGCCGGGGCGACCATGCGGTCCCGGGCAGTACACCCATACTGCTGCAGGCCCCCCTCCAATGAGGGTCCGGCCAGCAGGCCGCCGCTCCAGCCCAGCGCGCCCAGCATGCAGAGGTGGGCGCCGTGTTTCGGGTCCAGGGGCGGGAGGCGCAGCTCCACGCCCAGCGGCACCTCCTTGCCGGAGGCGACGCCGGCGGCTGTGAGGGATCAGGGATGGTAGGTGTTGGGTGACTCCGAGAGGTTGCGCGGCTTCTGGGGCCAAGGAAGCGGCCTTTGAGGGGTGTTCCGGTAGGGCAGATGGTGTGAGAATAGAAAAGCCATTGCAGCTGGTGTCGTGGCGTCGGCTCTGGCCAACTGCTACATGTTGTGTGTTGCTCCTCGACATCCTCGGGCCCCTCCCAGATTCCATGGCACCAGAGAGAACCCTCTGCTCGCGCTGACCGCGTTCTCACACCACCCCCTCCCTCCGACGCAAGCATACCTGGCGTGGATGACGGCGGAGGGGTGGCGGTCCTTTCCTGCGCTCCACAGGGGGCTGGCGAAGAGGCACCTCGGGAGGCAGGTCTCTGGGAGGTGACGCCGGCCCCGCTTCCTTCGGCCGCCGGCACCTCTGCCCTGGCAGCGAGGGCAGCGAGGCCGAACACGTCCTCGTCAGCCCACGGCGAGGACTGGCTCGTCTGGATGGCGGGGTGAGAGCTGGCGTAGCTGGGATGGTCCTGGGAAAAGGGGGCCGCCGGGTCAGCCCCTGGCGGGGCCGGGCTCGCCGGGAAGCTGGCCTCCTGGAAGACGGAGGCCGCAAAGGGGTTGCCACTCGCTGTCACTGAGGGGACTGCAGCGCCTGGCGCTGGCGCCGGCACCCCGCGCTGCGCCCCCGCCCGCTGCTGCCCGGGCGCCGCCCCTGACGCTCCCGTAAGGTGCAGCAGCGCCAGGTCTTCGCAGGGTGGCTCGGGTGCCCGTGACTTGAGCACCGCACCGGCAGGCAGGCGGCCTGCAGGGGTTTCGACCCGAGCCGCGGGCCCAAACACGGGGGCGGGCAAGGGGCCGCCATGCTCTGTCAGCCAGGTGGCAGGGCTGAGCGCCACGTCGGCGTTCTTGCTCGTGAAGGGGTGCTCGCTCTGAAAATTGTGGTAGTTGCGACTGGGGTGGGTGAGTGGGGGGCCAACAAGTACAGGCCCAGGAGCGAGGCATGGACCAAAGTGCCCTCTCCTCAGTGCCAGTCTGCATTGACTTCATGTTGCGTCTGCCACCAGGCCAGTCGCTTGGGGCCCTTGCAGGAGTCGCCCAGGTTTGAAGCCTGTCTCATTCTCTCAGCACATCCCCATCGCGCTGATCTCCAGCGATTCCCACACACACAAACACAGACCGTCCTGCCACGCATGCCATGACACACCTGTGCCAGAGCAATCAGGCGGAGCATGAGCCTGAATCGGTGCTCCGTCAGGCCCTTGCCCTCCCGAGCCACCACCTCCGGGCTCTTCACAAGGCGCCAGATCTGCAGGAAGGTCAAGGACTGATGAGGGAGGACTGCGTCCAATATCAGGGTTGGCACCCAGTCCCCTCACGAACTGCAAGCAGGCACCCTCGTGCTATGACATGTCTGGCCCACCTTGCTCAGGTCAGCAGATGACAAGCCAGAGCGCAGGAAGAAGGCTCGAGCCTCGTGATCGGCCACCCTGGAACACCGTGAGAGGAGGCCAAGCGGCTAAGACGACGCACACACCTGGTGGCCACACAGATTGGTTTGTACTGCATTTGCTCCATGCTGTGGGCTTGGATTCAATCCATGCATGGCCTTGCCCCTGTGAATGCTTCCTCACAGCACAGACATTGCCACATCTCTCACTCCCCCACCTGCCGTCGCTGTCGGAGTCGGCATCCCTGAACCACTGGGTCACGGTGGAGTCCTCCACACCATCCACCGGGGGCTGAGGCATCTGAAGGGACGCCGAGCGCATCATCTGGCTGGAAACCCGCGAGGGCCCCCCTGAAAACTCCCGCATGGGTCCACTGCGGCGAGAGCCAAACTCCGGGGGCAGCAGGTCCTGCAGCGGAGTGCACTTGGCTGATTTCATTCCAGAGGAGCTCAAGGGGCATGCATGCCCGAGGTGTGGATGGTATGAGCGTGGAGAGGAGGGATGCCCACCCGGTCCACCTGAACCTGCCTTGAAGCTCATACTGTGGACCGAGTGACCCTGTCGATCACAGGCCACAGCCTCCGTATCTCTTCAGTATGGCATTCTGAGCCTCCAAATACGCTGTCCCAAGAGCTGTTGGTCGTGATGAGCCCCTAATCAGCGCTTGCAGCACGCTGGCGAGGCTCGTAGCTCGGGGCAGCCAGTCTCGCAACCACCGACAGACTTCTCGGGACTGACACGGAATGGAATGCAGCCGATGTGGGTCTGGGTGAGGGTGAAATGGAAGCCTTTCGTCTCATCGAGCTGTCGAGATCGCTTTGGACGGATATACCTCCTGACAGGGATCCAGTCGTGGCCCCGTTTTCGGTCGCGCGCCTGTAACGAGACTTGTCACACGTTCACAGCCAAGCCTGGAATTTTCCAAGGAGCTTTGACTCAATGCAAAGTATCTGTATAATTCTGTATTTACTCATCTGCACATTTGGAGTGAGCTTTAAAGACTCACTCCAACGGGCCTTCCCATCCTTCTTGGGCACCAGGCCAAGTCGCGTTACCGGGACCGGCATGGATATCCTGGAATCCGTGGGGCCCCAGCTGCTTGTACACGATGGGCAGAACATCGTGAAGCGATCCCCTGGGTTCTATCTCAAGGGGAAGACCGTGGCCTTTTACTTTAGCGCACACTGGTGCGTGTCTTGGGATGGGGGAGTTGCTTGCCCGCGGAGCATGCCAGCCTCAGACGGGCCTTCATCGTCCTTGAAGCGTGAGTCGCGTCCACGGCCAGACCGAGCAAGCGCTGCTCTCGGATCCTCCTCGTGCACAGAGTCCAGGGCTCTCCCCTTCGCAGGTGCCCACCCTGCCGGCAGTTCACTCCACAGCTAGCGGCAGTGTACCGGCAACTCAAGGCTCGTGGCGTCGCCTTTGAGATAGTGTTTGTCTCCTCTGACAGATCGCCGTCGGACCAGGAGGTGAGTAGTGGGGGACTGGGCATCTGCTGCAGCATGGCTCAGGGGCCCCACTGACCTTGGCATGCTGGGGTGGGTGCGAGATTCAGCAGCTGATCCGTACCCACCCACAAATCGCCCCTGGCACAGTCATACTTCCGGAGCATGCCCTGGACCGCCATGCTCTACGAGGCCGCGAGGGGGGACCTCGGCCGGGCGCTGGCGCAGCGATTCTCGCTGGCGGGCATCCCTCGCCTCGTGGTCGTGGGTCCAGACGGGGCGATCGTGTCGGGGGACGCACGCGCCGCGGTCGCCGCGGACCCCACGGGCGTCAACTTCCCCTGGGCTGGACCTGCGAGCGCTGTAGCCACGGGCGGGTGAGGCCCGGGAGCATGGGTGGGTTGCTATGCGGTGGGGACTGGTTCCTGGCACCCGGCCGAATGGGTCCCCCAGGAGGCGCCGCCCTGCAGCCCTTCTCGAAGGCCTGGAGGCCAGAGGCTCTCCCTTTCCCACCTTTCCATGCCCTCAAACCCATGCAGGTGGGCATCAAACCCTGTTGCTCTCATGCTCCTCTTCCTCGTGGCCTGGCTCGTGTCCAACTGGATGACAAAGGGGCACCCTGCACCCATGCAGCATGTCCCAGACTGACGCTTCCTCACACAGGAAGGCTAGTCTTACAGGGAGGGCACAGAGGCAGCTTGGCTTGATAGCTCGAGGGTTGTTGAATTGCGTCATACAGGGAAGTCAGGGCTGGTATTTGTCAGGGGTCTGGGTCAATGAGATGCATTGTAGCAAAATGCCCTGTGGCAAGGGCAGATACGAGGCAAGGAGCTAGTGTAGCAGCTCTGCTCCTGTAGCTTAGCAGGCAGTCATCTGCAGTGGAATGGATGAAGATGGGAAGTACACCATCAGCCAACGCGATTCCAGCCTGATCATTGCTCAAAACAGCAACATTGCAAGCAGAAGTGTGGCCGTCAGATTAGCATGACCGGTTTTCATCGTTGCACGGAAAACGTGCAGTCAGCAGACCGTTGTGAGAAGTTAATAGGTAATCATCACCGCCACAGTGATTTCAGGAAGCCTTCTGCACACAACACGGACGCACCGAGCTTCGTACTGGACGACACGCTTTGTCCGCTTCTTGTACAGAATCCGGTACCCGCACTCACGACACCGAATGACATCCACTGCTCTGATGGTGTTTTCTGCCCCGCAGTCGCCGCAAATGTACACCACGGCCACTGGAGCCGGCGTTTCAAAGGCGCCACCGGGGGCCTGCATGTTGCGCGGCCCTCCTCAGAGCAACAGTGGGAAATTGTAACCAGGATGTTGACTGACGATTAGGATATGGAACGTTGGGGATTGAGCCGAAATTGAGCTCCACGCCACTCATCACTCCCCACCGTGCGGCGTTCAGTACCTCACGGGTGGAAGTACCAAGTCGCGGGCTGGTGCTCTTCGAATTCTCGGATGGCAGAAGGTCAATACATCATGGGAGGACATTCGGTCACCTGTCGTGCCCAGTATACAATGAGAGACTCCATCTCTGCAGCACTGCCGACGCCAGCGAGCAGGGACCTTGATGTTCATAGTCTGAAGGCAGGATTGCTCCATGCCTTGCCAAAATTCGGGCTGGGAACAGGTCAACCCCTGCTGGTTGTGAATGCCACTACTGGACTGCTGAGCCTCTGCTTTGTCAGTGGAGGTGCATAACACTCACTTCTTGGGCTGGTGATGGTCCTCGAACACTACACATTGGGAGTAGATGCAGGGGTTACTCTTTGCCAAAAACTGCGCGATCCATTCTTCGGAACTTACAATCGAGGTGGTAGAATGTCTCAGAAGATGCCACTGAGGGCAAGCTTCCGGCTGAGTGATCAGATTGCATCTCGCTTTTCACAATGTAGACCTGAGTGCATCCTGCTAGCCTTCTACCGCGCGCTGGTGCACGTTCCCCGGGGTTCAATTGAAGGATTTCATGTTCATGCACATTGTGACCTAATACCACCTTCAGCCTAGTACCACCCCTTCCTGCACGCTACGCCCAATTCTATACCTTTCTTCTTTTTGAGTACAGAAATCAGCTCAAATCATTGCTGGACCTGTTGACGCAGCTGACCCCTAAGCCGGGCCGGGCACTGCCCTGGACATAGTGCATTGATCGACCATCCTCACAATCCGAGCGTCTTCGGCACCTCGTAGTTCACTGTGTGATCTGGAATTGGATCTGTGCGCAGCTGTTGGATTCGCCGACACCGAGGCGCCGCAGCCCGTCCCAAGGGATGGCACCTCCGGGGGGCTATGCCGCGGGCACGCTGACCATGGCCGCGCTGCTGACGGCCCTCACCTCGTCTCAGGGCCTGCTGACCACCGCCAGTAAAACTGGCGGGTCCTACGCCTACAACTTCGCCACAGTGCCATTCCTGGCCGAGGCCCTGAAACTAGGCATCAGCTACAACCTCCTGCGGCGCCAGCGCAAGGAGGACCCCAAGGCCGCCCAGTGCACCACCAACCCGCGCACCGTCGCCCTGTTCCTGGTGCCCTCCATCATCTACATGCTGCACAACAACGTGCAGGTCTGTGATCTGTGTTTGGGAGAATGTTGGTCCGTTCATGCTCTCCACGTCGCTGGTTGGCTGCTTGCAGCCCAAGGGTGTACAGGCTGGAACCATCGAGGTCCTGGCAGAGCAGGCTCGTGCTTGTAATGAAACTGAAGACTCTAGTGCATGTACAGACATCCCCACCCAGCACGTGCAGCCTGACAGCCCCCGCCCTCCCCCACACAACACAGTTCTACCTGCTGCGGTATGTGGACCCAGCCACCTACCAGATCCTGGGCAACCTGAAGATCGTCACCACGGGCATCCTCTTCCGCATCTGCCTGCGGCGCCAACTCAGCCTGCTGCAGTGGATCGCGCTCTGCCTGCTGGCCATCGGGGCCACCACCAGCCAGATCAACACGGACTGCAGCCAGGGCAGCACCAAGTCCCTCATGTCGGCGCCCCTCGCGGTGGGTTGTCGATCTTTTCCACAAGGATCAAGGGTCGGGAAGGGGATAGTGGGTTGAAGGGGTTGATAGCATGAGGAATTGCTGTCAAGAGTCTGCAGCCCTTCCCTCCCCACCCCTCCCGCCCCAGGGCTATGCCTTTGGCGCGCTGAGCGCCACGCTCTCCGCCGTGGCGGCCGTGTACACGGAGTGGGTGATGAAGCACAACAGCGACAGCCTGTACTGGCAGAACATGCAGCTCTACGGCTTTGGCGTGGTGTTCAACGGCCTGGCTCTGGTGCTCGGCAGCGGCGGCTCGGGCTCGGGCGGGGCCGCCCTCGCCGACCTCCTGCACGGCTACACCCCCGTCACCTGGCTGGTGGTTGCCAACCTGGCCTTCAGCGGCCTCCTTGTTTCCTGGGTCATGAAGTTTGCAGGCAAGGGAAATGGGATGCAGGGGAGGGGGAAGGGCATAGGGCTTGTATGCTCTCGCTTGGAATGCAGAGTCCCGGCTTTGCTACCACGCTGTGTCCTGTTACAACCCTGGCCCCTCCCTCGTGGGGCACAGAAACTCACACCCTCCACCCCTTCCCCCCTTGCCTCCCAGACTCCATCGTCAAGGTGTATGCCACCTCCCTGGCCATGCTGCTCACCACCGGCGTGTCCATCGCCTTCTTCGGCCTGGACCCCAGCCTGCAGCTGGGGCTGGGCCTGGCGGTGGCCTGCGTCTCCGTCGTCCTCTACTACGTCAGCCCGGAGAAGCTGGCGCTGCCGCCGGGCGGGAGCGTCGCCAGCAGGGCGCTGCTGCCCAAGTGAGCGACGCCCGCCGCACCGTCATGTTGTCAAGAACCCTGGCGCGGCGCCGCGCTTCGCTCGCGCGGGTGATGCACGACCCTGCCTGCAGCCTGGCATCAGGCATGCCGTGTCGCACCCTCCCTTGCTCTTCTTCCCCCATTTACCCTGTGGCTGAAGATCAGGTGGGAGCCTGATCTCCGATACCCCTGAACCCCCTCTCTTCGTATCCCAATCCTGAATCTGCTTGCTCTCCTTCCCGTCACCGGACCGCTCATGTACAGCAGCGACTCCAGGGAGGTCAAGGGCGACGCCATGCCGGGCGTGCTGTGGGGAGTGGGTTGTGAGCCACAGACTGTGCACCACGGGCTGTCGATTGCATTCGACCCTTGCACGGTGACGCCACGCCGTCTCAGCGCCGTCATCGGCTCTTGTGCGGCAGCATGAAGCCCATGGCCTTTTTCACATCGTCTAGTGTTTGATGTGCCACGGCGCCCGCCGCCTCGGCTCCCTGGGTGTGGAAGGATGGTGGCAGTGCGGCTGGGGCAATTGTGCTTTGGAGGAACCCATGTGTGGGAATGGGTGAGCGCAGGCCATGCACAGCACAGCATGTCCCGTGGCAGGGGGCAGGCGGGTCACTACCAATCACATCAGGCACAGGAGGACCAAACATCTGCGCTGGCCGACCTTGCGGGCTGCATACCCCTTTCCCCCGCGCGCTTGCCTTCTCCAGGATGTCGTCCAGAGTCTGCGGGTCGGCCATGATGTCGGCGTAGCGCTGCTGGATGGGGGCCAAGTGCTCCACCAGCGCCTCTGCCAGCAGCGGCTTGAACGTGCCCCAGCGCATGGCCGCCACCTCCTCCGCCACCTCCTCCTGACGGTTGACGCGGAGCGAGGGGTGCAGAGAATGCATCGAGCATCGCACACTGTCCATCGTAGTACGCAGATGTCCGTACGCTAGCCGCTCCATGATTCCCAAACAAATACCCCTCCAGCCCCACCTGGGGCCGCCCGGTGATGGTCTGGTAGATGGTGAGCAGGTTGGCGGCCTCTGGCCGGTCCGGGTCGCCCCAGCGTAGCCCATCCTGGGCGTCGGTCTTGGCGCGCTGGACCTTTTTCCGGATCAGGTCTGGCGGGTCCAGGAGGTTGATGCGGCTGGCGTCCGACTCCGCGGACTTGGACATCTTCACCGTCCCGTCCTGGGGAGGGGAGGCGGGGCGGAGGAGGGGCGGTGGAGCGGGCACTGGACAGGCTCCTTCCCTGTGCCCAGACTCTGGCGAGGGGGTGATTGCACATGGCTCATGCCTGCCAAGCAACTCCTGCAAGGTGCTACGGGTCCTTGGCTCACCAGGAGGGACATGCAGCGGCCGCCACGGTCCACAATGCCTGCCTCGGGCACCCTGAAGAGGCGCGAGCCGCGCAGGCCCAGCTTCTTGCCCCGTTTTCCTCCGTACAGGCTGTTCATGCGCTCCGCCAGGTCCCGTGTCAGCTCCAGGTGCTGCCTCTGGTCCTCTCCCACGGGCACCAGGTCCGGCTGTGCGGTTGCGGGCAGGGGTGAGGGAACTCATGGCACAGCTGGGTCCAGGGCAGAGCGGGTACATGGCAGCAGCTGCTGTATTGCTGCCATGGCTTGTGGAGGGCCTGGGAAGCACAGCGGAGCAGGTGACTGTTTTCCATCCTTACCCTTGATACCTCCCAAGCACGCATGCCCATGCCCTCCCGCACAGGCACCCACGGCCCCACCTGGTAGAGCAGGATGTCTGCGGCCATGAGGACGGGGTAGGTCAGGAGGCCCGTGCCCACCTCCTCCCCCGTCTTTTTGGACTTTTCCTTGAACTGGATCATCTTCCGGAGCCTGGACAAAGAGGGGAGGGAGGGAGTGAGAGGGCGAGAGGGAGTCTGCGCCCATCTACGCTTCAGTCTCGGTCCCTCCGCCCCGCGCAACCGCCCACCGCTCACCAGCCCAGCGGCGTGGCGCAGCTCAGCAGCCAGGTCAGCTCCGCGTGCGCGGAGACGTGGGACTGCACAAAAACCGTACTGACGGCGGGGTCGATGCCGGCCGCCAGATACATGGCGGCCACGGATCGCGTGGAGGCCTGGAGGGCCGCGGGGTCGTGCGGCAGGGTCACGGCGTGAAGGTCCACCACGCAGAAGAAGGCGTCTGGGAAGAGAGGGGTGGGGGGAGGGAGATGGACTTAGTCATGAACAGGCATGCTTCAGGGTGAGGTGCAGGGCATAGAGACACATCCCAGTAGGGAAGGGAAGAATCGTGCGTTAGAACGGACCCGACAGTCAGATCAACACAGCCCTCCCCTCACAAGCTCGCACCATACTCATGCTGCAGGGCGGTCCAGCCGCGAATGGCGCCCAGGTAGTTACCCAGGTGGAGCGTGCCGGTAGGCTGCACGCCAGACAGGATGCGGGGTCTGCCAGGAGAACATTTGGACTGGGGAAGCTGGTGGGCAACACGGCTTTGCAATGCAATGAACCAGAGACAGATGGGAGGTATTCACTGAATCATGTTTTGAGCAAATCACAACGATGTTGGCACTGTCTCGGCGTCAAACTCCGCCCACCTGGGCTTGGTCTCCGTGCTGCTGGGCTTGGCGGTGCCGGCTGCGCTTGAAGCCTGGGGCCTGAGCCCGGCATGCAGGGCTCGCTCGCCATGGTGCCTCCGGGAGTACCGGCTAGCCTGGGCGCCGCACCGGGTGCCGCTTGCCAGGCGATGAAACCATGCCCCACAAGAGCTCATGAGACGCCCAGGTGGTTTCCTGTATGATAGGAGCGATGGGCCCAATGGCTGATGCCTGGTTGTCGCGGCAAGCTCGTACGGGCTGGCGATGGTGACCCGACACAATGTGCTCCTCGCGCACCTCGGCTCTGCGATTTATCATATATACATTTGGCACATCTACAATCTTGTCCCCTTTGTTATGCGGGCCATCGAGCCGACGATTGTTTTGTCGCGTTCGTAATGGATGAGGTTTGGGAGAGGGCGCGAGCAGATCACTCCGCCAACATCCATCTCGGTTAGTACACACAGTGTCAAGTACCCGAGCATCAAGAGGCCACCAGTGTCGGACCTTGGAAGAAGGCGGTCAATTTTCTCATGCCCACGTCCTCGATGTCCCCCACAGCTGCTGCTCTGGCAGGTTTGGGCTTGGCCGAGGCGTCCACTGCCTCGCATGCCTGGGAGTGAGGGGTCGGTCCATGTGAGCCCAGACTGGGTGGAGATTAGAGACTCCTACCCCTTCCAGTTTCTGTCCTGGCATCCACCGCAATGAACACACCTCTCTAAACTGTGGATCCTGCTGCAAGACCTCGGCCAGCCCCATGTCGATCAGGCGCCGGTCCTTCAGGGCCAGGGCCAGGACATCCCCAAACCTGAAGTTCTTTCGCTTGTCGCCGGCAGCCCTGGCCAGCGCCCCGGCGGCCAGCAGGCCTAGGAACGCCTCGGTGGCAGCGCCTACCGCACGCAGACCCTCTGCGCTCACTCGCGACACGTCGCTGTCCATGGTCATGATCTTCTTCACCAGGGAGGTGGGGAGGGAGGCAGGGGCGGTGCTGGGGGAGGGATCGCTGGACTCGGGGTCACCCGCGCCCTGAGGGTCCTCGCTCGCCGCAAGCTCTGTGGCGGGAAAGGTGTTGGCAGCTGTTCGTGAAAGGGTCGAGCACAGCCATGCCCTTGCTGGCGATATAACAATGACCGTGGAGTCTTGTCAACGTTACACAATGCGGCCTTGCCAGGACATTCCCACCCTCACCCGCTGCCTTTGCTGCAGCTTGGTCCTTGAAGACCTGTTTCTCCTCCTCGCTGAGAGCTTGCCATCGCTCGCCTATCGCCTTGCCCAGGATCGCCACCGAGATTTTGCCAGCGGGCTGTCTGGCCTGCAGCTCCTCCTGGACATCGGCCCTCACGGCGTCGGCAAAGAGGAAGTAGGCCGTGGGTCCCCGAACCATGCCGCGAACACGTCACAGTCGGTGAGGGTGAGATATTAGTTTCGGGCGAGAGGCTGAATAGCTGTCGATGTGCGCATGTGTCGTGCTTCGTTATCCCGACGGACCCCCTCTGCTGTATGCCCATTTGAAGACCGGCGTGCTGCGGGCATGCGGTGCCGTATGCCGAGATCACTTCCAGCAAGGGCACGAGACCGGGATGGGACCTTGCGGATATCAACAGAACAAGGCATCCGATCTGGTCACGTTTCCGTATAGGGTGGCTGTCTAGTGCTTGGCGAGAGAGGCCTGCAGAAAAGGGATAATCCGGCGAAGCTATGAGTGCGCTCTTCTCCGGGGTGGCAACGGAGTTGGGCTTACAGGTCATCCTGAAGCCCTACGACAATGCCATAGGAAGAGGTTTCTGGTGAGTCCCAATGGTCCACCATCCCTGTGTCATCTGATGCCCTTTACTTACGCCCGACTCTCGTTACCTCCCCAGTTTGCTGGCAGGTTTGGCCTACCCCACCTTCGCCTCCCTGCGAGCCTTGGATGGGGCAGCAGACCAGCGCTCCTCTCAGAATGCCTCGGAAGTCAGGAAATGGCTGCGGTATTGGTCTGTTCACGGCACCCTCACCGCAGCAGAGCTGCTCCTCAACAAATCAGTCACCTGGTAGGAGGGAGGATGAGGGGGTGCAGTGCAGGTTATTTGAGTGCACAGATCCCAAGGGTATGGTCCCGTGACTGACCTCTTCGACCCTGCACCCATCTGGCAGGGTGCCCTACTACCATGTCATAAAGTTTGCCTTCCTGCTGTGGCTTCAGCTCCCACGTTTTGAGGTAGGGCAGGGTTCGGGTGTGGGTACCCCTGGCGGCAATGCCCTGGCATCGAGTCACAGCTACCCATAGTAGATGTTCTAAACTCACTCACAGCCCCCAAAATCTGCAGGGTGCGGCGCGATTGTCCAGGGATGTTCTGGATCCTGCTGCAAAGCAGGCAGCTCCGCTGGTGGACCTGGGCCTCGCCAACCTAGCGCTGCTATTCAGCAACCCAGTGCTGGCTGGCGCAGAAGCGAGGCTCCAGAGCTTGGCGGCCCAGTTCCCTGTCCTCGAGTGGTTCATGCGAAGGCCAAGTGGCCGCTTTTAGACTGTTCCATGTGTCAATCTGTACCATACCCCTCAAATGGGCCACCCTGTACATCGCCATGTATGCCGCGGGTATGCTGCGGTGAAGGTGACCCGCGAGGAAAACCTAATCACGAGATATCTCGCCCAAGATTCGCGTGCCCGCTTGTTTTCGACACATTACCAGACGATACTCGCGCATCTCACTTTCAATACTTGCTGGTTCAGCGATGCCCTCCCAAACTTCCGTGGAGACGTGATCCGCTCGCCAGTCCCCCCAATATGGCGGGCGAACCTGCTGGCCTTGAGGGAGCCAGGACTGCACTTTCCAACAAAGAGTACAAGGATGCCCTTGTGCTCGTGAAGGAGGTCCTGAGGAAGGACCCCGGATCCTACGAGGCGCTCTTGTGAGTCTGAGGCCCCGTGGGACTTGGCATCTGTCCCCGGGCCTGCATCGGGGCCACATCCCTCAACCCCTCCCCGCCCCCACGAATTGTTCAGGCTGGCGAGCGAGATCGCCAGCGCGGCGGGCGAGACCGAGCAGACTCACAAGGCTCTCGAGCGGGCCGTGGAGACCTCACCGTCGCGCCCAGAGGCATGGAAGGCCCTCGCCAGCCTTGCCAAGGCCAGTCACGACACCGATGCCATCATCCGCACCAACTCCAAGCTTGTGCGTGTTGTGATCATGCTGTGGGGTATGAGGGAGTGGCTGAGTAGGGGGTTCCGAGGCGCCCTCCAGGCATGTTTTGGTCTTGGATATCCCTCAGCCCTTGAACGTCAAAAGATCTGGCATGCTGGTGCATGCACATTTTGTAATCTCCGTGTATGTCTTATAATGGCATGTGCCGGCCCAATTTTGCAGTCTAGGGTGCATCCTCTACCCAGTTTGTGACTCCTCCTTTGATGCCAGTGGCCTCTGGGCCGCTGTGCCATCGTCAACCCATGCGCGCCGTCCAGTCCCAGCTCATGCCCTCACCCCACCCCTGCCCCCATTCTCCAGCTCGAGCTGCTGCCCGAGGACGAGGCGGGGCAGCGCTTCGACTGCCATGCCGCGCTGGCGGCGGCCTTCACCGCCCGCTCCGAGTTCTGCGCGGCCGCCAAGCACGTGGGCCGCCAGCTGGACCTGGGCGACCTGTACCCGGAGGAGCGCCTGGACCTGCAGTGCGCGCGTGCCGATCTGGAGCTGCGCGCGCGCGAGGCGGCGGTGGCCACGGCGGTAGACCTGCGCCTGCGCGCCGCGCTGGAGGAGAGCGCCGCGCAGTGCGGCGACGCCATGGCCGCGCCGGCGCCCTCCCCCGAAGCCCTGCGCCGCGACGTGCTGGTGGAGCTGGCGGCGGTGGACGCCGGACAGGGCGAGCCCGGCGACGAGTCCACGCCGCTGCTGCGCGCGCTGCGCGCCATCTGCGCCGAGGCGCCGCTGGCGCTGCGCTACACGCGCTACTTCGACGAGCTGCTGCGCCGATCGCTGCTGCGCATCTTCACCGCGCCGGTGCGGAGCGCGGAGCGCCAGGCCGCGCGCCGCGCCGCGCTGCGCGAGTGCTGGGAGCTGACCTGCCCGGCGGGCGCGGGGGGCTGCTCCGCGCTGCCCTACGAGTCTGCCATCTGGCTGCTGGAGGAGGAGGAGGAGATGAAGGGCGGCGGCGCGCCCCCTGGCCACGCCACGGTGGGCGCGGCGGTGGGCATGTCGCAGCCCGCCGCCGCGCCGGCGCTGGGCGCCAACCCCGGCCCCGCCGCGCCGCTGGGCCATGCACACGCGACCAGCGCCGCGGTGGTGACCGCGCTGGAGAACTTTGCGCGGCGCTTCATGCACCGCTTCCCCGACAACCCCAATGCGCGCGCGTGCCTGGCGCTGATGCTGCGCCGCCGCTCCGTGGGCGACGGCAGCCTGGCGGTGCCGCAGGCCACGCGCCGCGACCTGGAGCGGCTGCTCGCCGACGCCCTGCGCGACCCGGCGCGCCTGACCTGCGCCACGGCCTGGAAGGCGCTGGCCGAGCTGCAGTACGAGAACCGTGGGTACGAGGCCGCGGCCGACACCGCGCTGCGCGGCTTGCACTGGCTCCAGGCGCGGCGCGAGGCGGGGCACGAGGCGCTGACGCAGGTGGCGCTGGCCCTGCGCCTGGCCATGGCCAAGTCGCTGCGCCGCCTGGGGCGCCTGGACGAGGCGGAGCGCCACTTCTCGGTGCTGGCGGGGTGGGTGACCGAGGGCGAGACCGCCTTTGCGGAGATGAGCGGCGCCACGCCGGTCAGCATCCACCAGCAGGCGCTGCGCGGGATGGCGCTGGTCGCGCTGGCGCGCGGCGACGAGCACGCCGCGAAGGCCCAGTACGAGCGCATCCTGGGCAAGGCGGCCATGGGCCGGGGGCCGGGCGAGCACTGGGCCCACGCCGACTACGGCTGGCTGTTGTACAAGGACGGCGACCTGCAGGTGGAGGGGGGGGGGGATTGGTTCTCTCTTCAAGTTTGATGCTTGGTCGGCACGGCACGCCATGAGGACAGGCCACGTGAACCCCGCACGAGCGAGGTCACCGTACGAAGTTATTACGCGCCGCTCCGTGGGCGACGGCAGCCTGGCGGTGCCGCAGGCCACGCGCCGCGACCTGGAGCGGCTGCTCGCCGACGCCCTGCGCGACCCGGCGCGCCTGACCTGCGCCACGGCCTGGAAGGCGCTGGCCGAGCTGCAGTACGAGAACCGTGGGTACGAGGCCGCGGCCGACACCGCGCTGCGCGGCTTGCACTGGCTCCAGGCGCGGCGCGAGGCGGGGCACGAGGCGCTGACGCAGGTGGCGCTGGCCCTGCGCCTGGCCATGGCCAAGTCGCTGCGCCGCCTGGGGCGCCTGGACGAGGCGGAGCGCCACTTCTCGGTGCTGGCGGGGTGGGTGACCGAGGGCGAGACCGCCTTTGCGGAGATGAGCGGCGCCACGCCGGTCAGCATCCACCAGCAGGCGCTGCGCGGGATGGCGCTGGTCGCGCTGGCGCGCGGCGACGAGCACGCCGCGAAGGCCCAGTACGAGCGCATCCTGGGCAAGGCGGCCATGGGCCGGGGGCCGGGCGAGCACTGGGCCCACGCCGACTACGGCTGGCTGTTGTACAAGGACGGCGACCTGCAGGTGAGGGGGGGGGGGATTGGTTCTCTCTTCAAGTTTGATGCTTGGTCGGGCACGGCACGCATGAGGACAGGCCACGTGAACCCCGCACGAGCGAGGACACCGACACCCTCCCGCCGTGCTTTCGTCCCCCCACCCGATGCCAGGGCGCGCGCCAGCACCTGGAGGACGCGGTGCGCGTGGCGCTGGGCCCCGAGTCCTACGTCACCGACAGCCAGCTGGGCGAGCACTACCAGCGGCTGGGAGAGGTGTACTGGGCCATGCGGGGGCGGTACCGCCGGGAGAAGCAGTTTGCCTACCACCAGGTGCGGGCGGGGGGGGAGGATACGAGGAGGCCCTGCCTCGTACGAGATGGTGCCGGCCTTTCATCGAAGGCCGTCTGGTCAGGAGGGGGCGGCGCGGAGGTGCTCGGCAGGGCGGGGTTGAGCAGCCTTGCCCGCTCGAGCATGCACCTGATGTGCCATGTCACCCTTGTGCTCCTGACACCAGACCTCACATGCCTTCCCGACCCCCTTCGCTTCCGAACCCCCCCCCCCCTCCCCACTGTAGTTCCTGGAGGCGGCCAAGGCGGAGGGTCACTCGCAGGCCCCCGCGCTGGCAGGGCTGGGCCGCTACTTCCTGGAGGTAGAGCACTCGCCGGAGCAGGCGTCGCGCTGCTTCAAGCGCGCGCTGGCCCTGGACCCCACCCTGGAGTTACCAGGTGGCGCGGTGGTGGAGGAGTGAAGCAGTTGCTCGCGCCCAGGCGACGACGACCCGGAATGATGTGCCGCCCCACCCCCGCCCCCTCCGCGACTCGCGCGTCGGCGGTCCAGCACGCGTTTTGCACGCACCTCCCCCCCCGCCGACCCTCGGCCATACACCCCACGCTTGCCCTGCTTGTCCAGCCTACCCTCCCCTTCCTTGGAACGCGTTGCCGCCGAAATTTTCACGGGGTCCCTGGGTCATTGCCCGAGGGGCCCCATCCTGTAACCCCCCCCGCCAGTACGGCCTCGTGGGGCGTGGCGTGGACTGACCGCCCGCCCCCATCCGCCCATGCCCCGCAGGGGAGGGCTTGTGCCGGGTGCTTCGGGGGGAGGGCAGGCGCGAGACCGTACGCACGCTGTGCGCTGGGATAGCCCAGCGTGCGCCCAGCGCCACGTGGGCCCACAGGAAGCTCGGTGAGGGGACGGTAATGGAACGGTGGTGCTCTTTCGGGGCTGCTTGGAGCCGAAGACAAGAAGGCAGTGGTGGACTGGCCGGGCCGGGGTGGCTGCGGCGCTGCACGGAGGAGAGCCTGGCTGCCGCGTGGGATCAAGGCGTGCGCTGCATGCCCGACGGCCCGCATCCTATGCCATCTTCCCAGGTGCCCTGGACGTCGAGAGCGGCGCCTTTGACGCGGCGGTGCCGCACCTGCAGGCCGCCATTCGGGGCGACCCACGCAACGCGGCGGCCTGGGAGGCCCTGGGCGCCGCCTACGAGGGCCAGGGCAGGCCCAGCGCCGCGCGGCGGGCCTTCGACCGCGCGCTGGGGATCGACCCGGGCAGGGTCCCGGCGCTGACGCGCGCCGCCGGGCTGGCGGCGGCGCTGGGCGACCTGGCTGCCGGGCTGGCGCAGTACCGCGCGGCCATGGGCCTGGCGCCGCAGTACCCGCCGGCCCTGCTGGGCCTGGGCCGGGCCCTGCTCGCGGCGGCCGGCCAGTCCCTGGGCGATGCCCTGCCGGGTGCGTGGCGGTGGCAGGGGGGCTGAGGCCCCAGGTCGGGGACTTGGCCGAGGGAAGGGAGGAGGAGGGCTCGCGATCGTGTGGATGCGTGGGGTGGGTGGAGCTCTGCGCTGGGGGAGGAGCAACAATCTTGGAACCCCTTCACGAGTCCACCACACTCGACACTGGAGTGCGCGCCGAACCCTCCCCCCGCGTGCAGGGCGTGTGGCGGCCGAGCTGGCGGAGGCCGCCGACCTGGCGCGGCGCTGCGTGGACGCCAGGCCCGGCCTGAGAGCCGGGTGGAAGCTGCTGGGCGACGCGCTGCTGGCGCTGGGGCGCGTGGCGGCCGGCGAGCCTGGCGCGGACGCTGCGGGTGGCGGTGCGGCGCTCCCCGAAGCGGTCCGCCTCGCCGTGGAGGCCGCGCCCGAGGCGCTGCGCCCCGCCTTCCGGGGTCGATCGAGCGCGCTGCGCGCGCTGGGTGGTGCGCGGCGGGCCTACGCTGAGCTCGTGAGACTGGAAGGCGCGCAGGTTCCACCGGACCCTGGGGAGGCCGAGTCGGAGTCCGCTCGGCCTCCGCCGTCGACGGACGTGGCGACCGCGACCCTGGCAGAGGCGCTGGCCGTGGAGGAGCTGGCGCGGGCAGTGGCGCCCGGGGACGCGGTGGCGCTGCGCTCCCACGCCTCCTCGCTCCTCCAGGAGGCACGGGAGCAAGTGCGCGGGGCCCTGGCCCTGAGCCCGGCCTGCTCCCGGCTCTGGGCCCTGTGTGCAGCCACCTGCCGCGAGGTGCGGGCAGGGCCCCATTCGCTGGGATCACATGTGGGTTGCTGTGACTCTACCAGTGGGCTTCGTGTCTACGGCCAACGGCATCATGCTGGCGTCATGGTGCATGCTCTGGTGAGCCGGTGGAGGGGCACAGAACCCGCCCGCCTAATCCTCCCCACCCCTCCCTCCCTGCTCACCCTTGCACCAGGACACTGAGAAGGCAGAGTATGCCCTGGCGCGCTCGCTCCAGCTGGACCCCAGGAATGCACCGGCCTGGACGCAGCTGGCGAGGCTGTACGTGGGGGCGGGCCGGCCGGGCGCGGCCGACGCCTGCCTGCAGGCGGCACGCACGCACGCCGCCGCTTCCCCGGGCGTCTGGGAGGCGATGGGCGACGCGGAGGGGTGGCCGGCCGCCGCGCTGGGCCTGCTGGAGCACGCCGTCGGCCTGGGGGCGGGGGCGACGCACCAGCTGCGCTTTGCCGCGCTTTCCTTGGGCGCGCCGGCCGGGCCCGACGCCTCGCGGGCGTACCTGGCCGCGCTCAAGGCCTCGCGCCTGCTGCCGCTGGACCCCGCTGCGCACGCTGCGCTTGGCATGGCCCTGCAGCGTCGCGGCGACGCGGCTGGAGCCGCAGAGGCGTATGGGACTGCCGCCCAGCTGGCGCGTCGCAGGGGGGATCTCGACCTGGAGGCGGCTGTGTTGGTGCGCCGGGCGGCGGCGCTGGTGGAAGCGGGGGACGGCTCGACCGCGCTGCGCATTTTCGCCGAGCTCGACACGGCAGGCAGGGGTGAGGTGGGGCGTTGGATGGGCGGGGCGGGGCGCGTGCTTTGAATGGTGGGTCTTAAGGATCGATATGAAGCAGCGGATGGAGCTTGTCGCCAAAAAGTGTGTCAGAAACCTATGCGCCTCGTGGCTGCTGCAGCTGTCCGCAGACTCACCTTCATTTCAACAGAAACACACGCTGAATAACCTCCGCAGGTGGCGACCTGGCCCTTCCAAGCGTACAGCGAACGCTGGCCCGTGCCCATGAGCAGTCGGGCGACCTGGACACGGCGCACGCCGCGCTTTCCTCTGCGCTTGAGGGGGCGCGCAGCGGAGGAGAGGCCTTTGGCGTGCTGGAGGACCTCGTGTCGCTGGCGTGGTTGGCAGGGCTGTCCCCCAGCGGTCGGCTGGAAGGGGTCCTGCTGCCGCGAGCGCAGGTCGGACCCTGGCCGGTGGGGGAGGGTGAAGTCCGTGCGCTGCGCCTGCGTGCCGCCGAACTGGAGGCGCGGGCGGGCGATGTCGAGGCGGTGCGGGGCGTGGCGCACCGCCTCGGGCCCCTGGACGCCGAGGCCGCGGCGCACCTCTGCCTCCTGCAGGCTGCGGCGACGCAGACTGCTGGTTCTGGGCTCCCAGCGGCGCCAGATGATCTCGCCGCCACCCTCAGCGCTGCGGCAAGGCGTTGCGCCGCAGCACTCCACCTCTGCCCCCGCTCCGCCCCGGCCCAGGTGGCGCTGGCGGCAACCAGCCTGCGCGCCGACCCGGCCAGGGCGCGCGCCGCGCTGGGCATGCTGTGCGCCGTGCTGGACGCCGGCGCGACCCCGATCCGGCTGCGCCACCCTGCGCTCGAGGCCGCAACGTCGGCGCTGCTGGCGCTGCCCCCGGGCTCCAGCCGGCGTGCGGCGAGGGAGCACCTGGCGCGGCTGGCGCGGGCGGTGCATGCGGCGCCCGACGCCGCGCCGCTCTGGGTGGCTGGTGCTGCCGTCGCCGCGCATGCTGCTGCGGGGCAAGAAGACGTGACTGGCGCCCAGGCTGGATGGCGGAGGGCGGCGGCCTGGGCGGGCGCGGCGCGGGGCGTCAGCGAGCGCCAGCCAGCGCTCCCGCTACGCTTCGCGGCCCTGGCCTGCCAGGCCGAGGCGCTGGCTGCCCTGGGCCGCGCCGACGCCGCCCTGCTGTCTGGAAGGGAGGCCGTGCGCGTGGCGGCGGGGAGTGTACATGCTGGCGACGCGCTGTGCGTTCTCGGCCGCGTGCTGTGGGCAGGTGGCCGCGCCGACCAGGCGGCGGCGGCTTTCATGAGAGCACAGGCGCCGGGCAATCCCATTTCCGCTGCCGCCGCCGGCCTGCACCTGGCCGCGCTTTCTCCTCTCCACCCCGACGGCGACCGTCCCGGCGCAGAGGCCCTCCTACGAGACACCCTGAAGCAAAGCGACTCAGCTATACTTCGTCTGACCCTGGCCGGCCTGCTGCGGGACCAGGGCCGAAATGACGAGGCGCTGGAGATCGCCGCTGAGATGACGGCCTGCTCCGCTGGCCGTCACGACCGTACGAGCGTGACCCACGCCGCTCGCCTGCTGGAGGGCAGCGTGCACCTCGCGAGCGCGCTGCAGGCGGGCGTGGAGCCGGTGGCGCGCAGGGCCGCGGCTGGCGCGGCGCTGGGCGCGCTGCAGCGCAGAATGGCCATCAGCCCTACTGCGCTGCAGCTCGCCATCGGCACAGCAGCAGAGAGCTGCCTGGGCCAGAAGAAGTCGGGCGCGCGTGCGGCGGAGGGTGCCTCAAAGGCGCAGAGGACGGCCGTGTTGGAGTCTGGTCAGCCTCTCTCCACCGACCTCCTCCTCTTCCTGAGCAGGGCCCTGCGCCGGCCAAGCCTCTGCGCCCGAGCGGTGCATGCCCGGCCCTGGGAGGGTCAGGCCTGGGCTGCTCTCACCCCAAATGTCATCCCTGCTGCCTGATTGCTGGTCGTGTGTTTACCGTTGCAAACAGGTCTTCGTTATCATGAAGGGCAAGGAGCAGAGCATGGTTGAGGATGGGATGATTCAAGCAGGGCTCCAGATTCCCCCTTGTCAATCCAGCACTCCTGTCAGCAGCTCTCGGG